TATATAATTAAGTGAGTGTACAAAATATTCGAGAGACGTTTATAAATAAATTTATTTTAATCCACAATCTAATTTTTGTCTCGTTTATTTTGGTTTTTAAATTTTAATTATTGTTTTACTATATACTTTATATATATATATATATATATATATATTTATTAATATATATATTTATTATTATTTTTTATTATTTAATAATAATATATAATTAATAATATATTATTATTATTTAATATATATATTTATTATTAATTATTATTAATTAATTTGATATGATGATTTAATTAATCATTATTATATTAATTAATTAATTTATCCTGATCTTTATTCATTTTGTCGAAAAACTCTGATTATTCTGATTATTCATTGTATGTGTTTTTTCCGCAAAAAAATTAGATTCAGCGTAACAATAATAGGATAAACAGCATAAAGCCGGCTGCACACAGGACGTGGCAACGCGACACGCGGCAATGTGGAATATATAACGAAGTCAAAAAACAAGACGGTAATTGGCTATCGCATTGTCGCGTTGTCGCGTTGCCGCTTTGCCGCGTCCTGTGTGCAGCCGGCCTAAAGTAGCGAAATCTGATGTTTAAGTGAAACGATGTGATTGGTCGACGCTTATGGTAGTTACGCTGTATGTGACGGCACCCTAAGAGTCTAACGGATTTGTAGAGTAGCTGAGACAATTTGGTTGGATGACAGTTTATTGTAACGTTTGCAGAAAATTAAAACTTGCGGACGTTTATCCGAAATGACGTAGGTGCAGTCGATATCTTAGGTTAACACATGCGTGATTTTAAATATTAAGAAATATAACTTTTACCATTTTATAGTTTATCATTTTATATATATATTCCTTCTTTTTTTATATAACTTTTATTATTAAGATAATTAATAGTAAAGCGAGAATTCACTTTCTTTCGTCTTGCGATAAGATATAATTTTATTTTATTACTATTATTATTGTTTTCTTTTGGATATATATTTGAATATATAATTTGGAAATATAATTTTATAATTTAATTTTTTTTCTTCGAATTGTCTCTTCTTCGGTTCTCGATGCTGCAACTGTAGAAGAGACAAAAGAGGATTCGATCTTAGTTTATACTAGAGAGGAAGCCTATTGCACTCAAATATTCTTAATATAAACTTCCCAACGAAGAGCTAGCTCGGAAAGTCTTTTGTTGCGCAAACGAAAATTTAACTGACGAAAACGAAAAATATTAAATGAATTCTCATTTGCAATAATAAGATTATTATTAAGTATTAACGATATCTCCGAAAAAATATTAGGTCTTAGCTTTATTTTTTTTCTTTCTTTTCCTTTTATCTTTTCCTATTTTCGCGTAAATAACCGTAGCACGAAATAAAATGCTCAGTCGAGAAGTGCTTTGTTTGTCCCTCCCCTTTGCATCGGGCTCTATCCTAGAGATAGAGGCTTAGATGCAGACGCGGCAGTCGTTACCAAATCATTAGAGAGTGCAGTCACTATCTCAAACCGCTGAATCTTATAATTACAAGGAATTACATCTTATAATTACAAAGGAAAAGTAAAAGGAAAGGAAAAGGAAATCACTAGAATTAATACGTTTAATAACTTACCTTTAATAATTTAAGGTAATCATTACTTCTAATACTATTTGGAATATTATTTGATTTGCTTATATTATATTGTTCAATTTGCTTATATTATATTATTTGATTGTCTTATATTATATTATTTGATTAGCTTGTATTATATTATTCGACCAGCTTATATTATATTATTGATTTTATTATATTATATTATATTATATTATATTATATTATATATATATTATATTATATTATATTATATTATTATATTATATTATATTATCTGATTTGCTTATATTGTATTAGTGATTTTCATTTCATTTTAATATCACTACTTATATAAATTTTAGAGATAACTTAGAATTTAATTATCATATTCACATTTTATCTCATT